AAAACATCAGCCAAATATCACATACAAAATGTATTCATCTAGTTAAACAGTGTTCCTCCAAACTTTTCAATACTTAAGGCCACTTACCAAAAAAACACTTCGCGGACCACCCCTTAACAAACTATCCAAAAAACACACGAATCGTTTCTCTAGAACAATTTACAATCGCCTGAAAATGGTACAAACACGTGCAACATGTGTGAAACTTAAGCTTGCGCTCCCATTGCGGAATATTCCACGAAGAGTGCGAAAACTTTAATTAATTAATTAATTTCAAATATGGAATATTTCCAAAATTGCCCAGCTTAACTTCCCATGGAAATTTACCGGAAACTTTCCGGAAATTTACCGGAAGTTTTCCGCCCTTTTGCAACCCTAGTTGGTAGACTGTTTTTATTAACAGACTATATGATATCATTATGTTTGCCGATCGAGTGGTTGTTCCAAAACAAGGCGTATGAAGAAGAAAGCAAAAAAGCAAAAGCCAAAAGATGCTTCTCAGTTCTCTTACAAACTACATAGTTGGATAGTAGCAAAACCACTCCAGGGTGCTGCTACCCCCTATTCTTCTTCTTTTGAAATATACAATCAATGATATGAATTGAATCAGAATGTCACAGCCAGTTAGACTACATAAATGGACATCTTAATAGTACCAAGAATCACAGACCACACCTTCTCTACGAGTAAGAATATTGTGTACCTGCTCATAGCAAAGCTTCAGGAGTCTGTGGAGAGCTCTCTCCTGTGCCGGCTGATTGGGGCCAATAATTAGTGTGCTTTGTAATAGCAGGCAGTGTCAGGTGATAACACGGGGCTGATTTGAGAGTGTGTAATAAGATGAGTAGGACGCCTCACAGGCCTGGGTGAAATATTCCTTAGTAAATACTTCACTGTGCAGCAAGAGAAGGGAGTGGGGGGAGCTGGATGTAATTGCTCCAGCATAGAGACCCACACGGGACACACAGACAGCCAGGCCCGTAATCAACTGATGGAGACTGGGGCAGCAGGGTGCTTGAGAAGGGGTTGATTGAAATATTTCAGGACTGTTCATATATTTCTAAGGATTTGCATTCTGTGATATAATCCGCTTCAGTAAGGAAAAAATCCCTTACAAACCAAGAAATGCTTAACAAAGCCCTTGTACATGGGTGGTAGTCCATTACTGCATATAATTAAATTAATTTGTTAAACGAATATAAATGAACCAATAACCTTGAAAAAAACTTGGACAAATAAATTGGGTAAAGCAATAGGTAGCCAGTAAGGAGGCAAGATGGGGGTGCTGTGGTCATACAGTATTTCCGAGCTTGAGATAAGACCCTTGCAGCAGAGTTTCGATGGGCTACAGACAGGAGAGGGATTTCTTAATGTTGCCAGAGAGCAATGATTAACAGCAGTCTAATCGACTGGTGATGAAGGCGTGGTTAACAGTTTCCACACTATTAGGAGAAAATAATTGTCTGATCTTTAAAATGTGCTTGAGGAGGATTGATTTGACATGTTTGTGTAAGCTAAGGCAGTGTTTTTTCAAAGTGGGGGGCCGCCAGGGGGCGCCAGGCGGGTCACGCAAAGTTTGAGGGAAAGGGGAATTTTATTTTTGAAAGTTACATTATTTTA